GTATGAAAAGTCCACCCCCCCCCTCCCTAACTCCCCTACTACAGTATACAAGACGCGCAGATGCGAGACTTCACATCTAGCCGTAGATGTTTTCACACCTCGCAACTCGGATTGCTCATCGTATGAAAAGTCACTCACCCCGAAGATGCTAGTGCACCCGACAATACATTTGATGAGCCCTTATGAACTATGCTTAACCACACTGCTTCTAATATAGCTGTCTCAATAAAACTTTCTGAGGTTGTTTTCGAGTTACTTATGATTCAAAATTTCTAATATTACTTGATGTTTATTAATCATACTATGTTGCATCAAAGCTTACGTTGCTTTTTCCAAACTTTGAGATATAGAGAGGTTTGCTTGGCATTGTTGTTAATAAAGTTGTATTCTGTTTTTATAAAAGCATCTTGAATTCTCGAGCACAGATTGCAAAGACGAGGTCGGAAAACACTCGCTCAAGCCTTGATCTTCCATGTGTAAACTCGTCAGAAATCTAAAACGTTATTTAAACGTTATATTATAAAGAAAATGCAAAACGCGTGTCCTGACTGGGGACCTTGGGTTTCGTCAAGATCGCAATCATATAATTATTTGTTCAACGATCTCCGTCGGCTGTGATGTGCTTCCAGCCTCTGTTTATGCATTCTTTTATGATCGTATAATTTCGTAGAGCAGAAATCATTTCGCTCAGCAACTTTGCAACAAACCCGTCGTTTACGCAAAATGAGCTCAAAAATGTTTTTTATTATTGCTTGCAATTGTGTGATTTCACAATGACGGATAGCTCCTCATTAACTTTCAGACTGATTATCGATTACAAAAAGTCCCGCGTTATTAAACCGAATTTTGACATGAAAAAGCTGGTTTATTTGGTAATGAGGCAGTGATAACTCGCTCACATTAGCAAACGGTCGCAGATCGTTATCTCCCACAAAAGTAACCTCAGCGTTGTTGAAAGTCTTGTAGGCCATGGGTGCAACCCATTTGTTCAAAGCCGCTGAATATGGATTTTCCACGGTGTAGTCGTTGAGAGCTTCAAAACTGAACAAAGAAACCCTGATGATACAATACATATGTGACCAATCTGGCCACGAATAGAGAAATTTTGCGTACAATTCATAGTTTTGTCCATAGTTAGGTACGTCAACTTTTCTAGTAGAACAGTCTTTAACAGCTAAATAAGCCAATTTCTCCAAATCACAGCTCCATCTCTCAAAATAGCATATCAGTCATGCGTACTAGCTATAATAAACAGCTCACCACTTTGTAGATATTCGACCCAACCGGTTGCTCTTTTCTACCCACATGAACGGGATAACCTTGAGCCACACGACTTCGATAGAGATTGTGATCGTAAAGCATCACATTCCTTCGAGAAATTGTCGTTGGAGTGCTCATAGGACATAGAACCTCCTCTGTTGCAATATCGCGTACAATCTCAAAAGGAAATTGTATGTGGATTGAATTGTCGGGTACTTTATGACTTACATAAAAAAGAATATTCAGCGAGAGGTATTCAGTACGCCAAGTAAGACTTCCCATCACGTAAGAGGTTCCCAAAATGCAAGATTCATCGTATTGGCCAGATGTCTGTCCGTATCGAATTCTCTTAGCGTATGGTACAAAAGGTGAAAGAGAGACTAGATATAACGCTAGACGACTTTTCGCTGCCGCTTTTTGTGAATCTTGAAGAAATCGAAAATTTGTCGATAAAGACGTAATGGGCACGTAGCTAAATGACATTGCGGATCGCATCAGCCTAGCAAGTCTCATGCAACCGTTTTGCTGCTATCCTTTTTTGAGAATGAAAGCGCAGTTAATGAATATTGCTAGTATACACAATACATTTTGATATTTGGGGGAATTTTCTCCATGTTTTGAATGTGTTTATGAAGACTACATATTTCAAGTGAAAAAAGTTCGCTCACAAATGCTTGTAATCTACAGCATTTCAGGTTCGACGGAGAGCAAAAGCTTATCTTCAGTGAAGAGACTTAAAAAGCGCAAAATTGGCTACATCAAAACAACGTGATTGCTTCTACATAGAAGCACAAAACAGGAGAAGCCGAAAGCCACTTTGAAAGACATTCCCACTTGTCCGAACATAGGTGCAGTTTCCAAGAAACGAGTTCATGTTGAAAAACGTTTACGCAGACGTAATGGTCATTGACGTAGACATTAGCGTGGTTCCTCGAGAAAGAGGGATAGTTTTTTGCTTTCAAAATTCTTAATTTCGTCTTGACGTTCTTGACGTGAGTCGATTGTGTGTGTTTGCTAATAATTTTCTCATCTATGTAATTATTGGTTTGAAATAAGGTCTTGTTTTGCAAATAAAGTTCGCGCACCTGTCATGGAGCCGATAAAGGTGGTTTCATAGCACCACAGCTAAAAATGAACGAAAAAAAGAAAATGAAAGAATAAGGCGTCATCAACACTCTTGGCGGGCATGCTGAACGCATTCTACTTCGTAGTCGAGGCAGGTGAATGCTTGCAGCCCTCATTCGTCCCCTAAACAAGAAAATAGCAGGGATAAAAGAGAAGAAGAGCGAAGTGCAAGCATAAGTTTCGGAAAGGGTTCGGTTGAAATGTTTGGTGAAGCACAGATTGATGTACAGTCAGATCAGTATTTTCTGTGGAATTCAAACGGTTTACAATTAAGAGGCTAACTATGGAATGGTCAAAAATCGAAGTGGCCAATCCAGACAAGC